AGAATATCTCTTTGGTTTTGAGACTTTAGTCTTTGCAACTTCAGGGATCTTATCTATGCTCAATCAGCTTGTAACACTCCAAAGAGAAAGGAAAACTTGAAATCGCATCATATGACCCCTTTAAAGGCTCTGCATAGTAGAAGCAGAGGTATGGGTTCTGAATGGCTCCATGAATAAAATGTTAAATTGTACAAATTTTCAGGGGTTAAAATGTGTCACTTTGCATACAGCTGAACCTTTTTGTCTTTTAAAGAGGAATGCCTGAAGAACAAATAATTTTGAAACTAGAAATGTATTGTTTCGCTCTATCAAAACAATTCTTTATGTTGCCACCATTTTATTATCTATAAATCCACATCTATCGTCATCTTTAGTACTGCATGTATGAATATACTACTGTGTATCACTGTACTACCCCTGGAAAATACTGTGGCATTGCTGGTGTTTTGAGACTTGGGCATTGCAATACTACTGTAGAACTGGCATACCATGCTACCCTAATACACAACTGTGGTCAAGCCAGCCACATTTTGAAAATTATTTGCCGGAAGGGCAGAGAGACAATTTTTCTGAGCATTTCTTTCAGTTGGTCATTAAGATTTTTGTACTTTTTGTAACATGGTCTATAATGAATGAATATGGGAGATGCTTAAAAAAACGTCCATCTGGCCAACAGTTTAAAAAATGTGATGAAAATTATTATATTATACCTGGTATTTTCAATTGTTGGTCAATTATAATACCCCTGATCAAATACAGTAGTGGCCAAAAATAATGTCTGGCCAAGGGAGTGTAAAACTAATGCATGTGCTCAATTGTTTCATTTGTAGTAATGCAATGCAACATGACAAATTTTGTCATACAATCAATCAGTCAATCAATAAAAGTAAGTAATGTGCATAACTTATTGAGCACTGCCCTAGAGAAAGACTGCTGTAATCGAAAACAAGGGACAACCAACAATATGTTAATTACTGATTATATTCTTATATTAAATGTATGATTTATTTCCTGTGAGCTTTTTGTTTTCCTATGTATTTTTAGTATAGTAAAATAAACCCAATTTCCATAATAAGCTGTAGTTTGCTTTTTTTCTCAAATTATTAAATAATAAATAAATAAATAAAGTTAAATACCTTAACCAAGTTAGTGTTTTCTTACTAGAGATGGACGATATTATGTATAATGGCTTTAAATGTAAATATCGACATCTGCCTGATATGAACAATTCTGCCGATATGTCTTGCTGATAAGAGGAATACGCTTACTCACATGTGCTCATGGTGTGCTAGCGATTAGATCAAGTCAACACTTTGGCTCATTCTTGAAGCAAAGTTTTGCCTGAATGGTGGATTAGATTCACTGAGAGATTAGATTTAAACTGAGAATGCACGCACAGAATGAGCGTTCAGTGTATGATAGAGTAAAACAGTAGCACGTGCAGCGGCAACAGCGGCAGTCTCCCCCGGGTTCTAATGCCCGTTCGGTAAAGAGTTAATTCCGTAGGGGGCGCTGTTGTCCTACTTCTAATAAAATTAAAGTAAAATACATAAATAACATTTAGACTGCGTTTCTGATTAAATAAAGCAGTAATTGATGCCATAAAATAATGAGTATGTTTTGATTTAAAGGTCAGAAGCTATAGCTTACATGAATTGAAAAAAAAAAAAACATGACACTTGTAAATTAAATAATTTGATATATTCTGATTTATTCATTAATGTGTAATGTCATATTTTTAAAACAAATTATTAGCTCTAAAATATTTTCAGAATTTTTACAACTCTTTTGGTTTAGACCATCTTCAAATGTTAAATCTTAAAATAAAATGTTAAGGTTACTACTGCATCTTTCTGAAAAAAATAATGCAGCGATTGATATATAGTTTATTTATAGTTATTTTCAAAGCTTCGATGTACTATCATTATAAAAGAACTTCATTATTGTTTATTTAATTATAACAAACAAGTTCTTGTTCAAAACTAACCAAAATTAAAAATAACTTGCTTATAATTTCCACACAGGTGAGACTTGGTGTTGTTTCCAAACTAGGGTTGCAACGATACAATTTTTTCAGTTCCGATCCGATCCGATACCAGCAAAGTTTTTTTTAAATCAATGTAGAATTTCTATACTTCTGTGTTCAGCTGATCATCACTCTTGTGTGTGTTATACACAATCTACTAAATATAGACAACTTCATTTTAATGAAAAATAACAAATGAAAAAATATATAATCATAATCTATGACAAAAAAATACTATTATAATCTAGGTTAGTGGATAATTCAGCAGCATAAGTTATTCTAGAAAAACCATGAGTGCACAATAATTATATAAAAACAAAACATGAAACTAAACTAAACATTTAGTGAAGCAACATTATTTAGTGGGCAACAAATAAAGGTTAATAAGTGTAGGACTAAATCTGGTAAAAATGTTACACATTGCTCTTTGTATTGTTGTAAAATACATTCATAAAAAGCAAATAGCCTAAATATATATATATATATATATATACATACACTATCAAATTAAAAGACATTTCTTTTAAATGCATAGCACAGTAATGAAGGCAGCAACATATAATAGAACAGAACAAAAAAAGACTATTAATAATCTTTCATTGCGCAAAAGTATTATAATACGAAAGG